AAAACCCGGCCACTTTATTAGGAACACCTCAGTAGAACCAGCTGATATTCTCCACCATCACCGCTGACCCAGTAGGTTCTCCAGGACCTGCTTCCAGCCGGGACTCAGAGACGGGCTGACAGGGAGGGGGCGAGCGTCTGCTGGTGCTGGAGTGAGTCAGAGTGAGTCGGCGGTTCGGTCGCCGTGGTTTCAGTCAGACGGACACACCCTGGAAAACAACAGCCAGGCTCTGGTTCTGACCCGGCCCTCCCTCCTCTCTGGGTCCAGACGGTTGATCCGTGCATTATTGACCTGGAAGAGCGTCTGCTCCCTGCTGGGGAAGGATAGGAGGTGCAGGCGGGGGGGGGAGGGGGGGGGGGGGGGGGGCGGCGTCTCCATAGCAACTAGTCCAGAGCTGGTCTGGAGACCTGGTCCAGTCATGGCGGGGTAGAGATCAACAGATAGTTACCATGAAGACAGACCTAATGCTCCTCCATGTCTGGTTTCTGCTCCGCTGGATGGAGGAGAAGAACAGCTGTGGGTCAGACCGGTCCTGATGTTCCCAGATAACGGATCAGAACCGCTCCGCTATCCAGGAATTGTTCAGACGCCTTACTGAGGCCATGCAGCTGAGGAAGAAGAGGGTTCCTCAGATGTTCAGGGTCCAGACCTGCAGGAGGAACCAAACTAGCATCAGCTTGAGGAGCTTCCTGAAGCATTCCTGGATGTTTGGGTTGGCAGAGGGAGGAAAACATCCGGGTTTGAGTTCCTGTTCTCAAGGAAACGGTCCCTTAAATCCCGGAACAGCAGAGACCTTCATCAGCCTCCTCAGGTCCTGCAGAACCGGGTCCAGTAAAGCGTCGGATGGGAAGAGCGTTTGGGTCGTGCTGATTCTGACAACAGTTGGTTCCCATAGTAACAGCTAGGGTTCTCCTGACCGCAGCGACCCGCTGAGGGGAAGCTTGACTTCATTAAAGGAAGTGAGTCCGGTCCACGCTGCAGCTGAACCACTTCCCACTTTCTAACTTTGATTTAGCGTCTGACTTCACTTCCTGCGCGGCACCAGGAGGACCGGCTGATGGAGGACAGAGCCGTTCCCGCCGCAGCAGACCGGTGCGTTGCTTCTGATTTAGCTCGTCTCTCTCAGGAGGAAGGTTGGTGATGCAGCAGGGATGGAGCTGTTAGGAACCGGGTCTGTTAGGGATTAGTTCCACAGAGCGAGTTCTGTTTGCTGGTTCTGGGAGGTTCTGTTAGGGTCATAATGAACTTTATACTTTAATCTGTTGCCATGGCGATCTGGATAGCAGCCCCTGATTGGTAGGGTTTATATTTCCCTTCTAAATCTGTTCTGTCTGCTCATTGATCGGACATTAAGCGCGGTTCTGCTGCCGGTTCTGACTCCAACGACAGGAACGAGCTGCTGCTTTCAAAATAAAAGCATCACCGTTATTATTTGGTTTCTCTTTGACTGAATCAGAACCTCCTGCACAGCCGTCACGGACCGTATGGCTGCCACTGAGGTCCGGTTCATCCCAAACCGTCTGAACTGGGTTTGGTTCTGGGGGTCGGGCAGGTTCTGCACAGCCTGGAGGTGTAATTGGATCATATATGGTTCCACCTGTGAGGCATGGAGGAGGTGGTGTAGTGGTAGGGGGGACATCCTGCTGCCATCCATCCACTATATAGAGGTGGATAGAAATATAAAGAAACATTTGATCTTATCATCAAATTATTTCATCTTTTTTAGCAGCTAACATGCGTAATAACACACGTGTGTAATACATGATGTAATCTTTCGGTATCGCATCACGATGCATCGTGTTTATTGGCTTCAGCCGTCTGTTGGCTGTGTTACCATGGCGACAGTGGATGCCACAGAAACTGCAAAACAGATGATGTCAGAAACACCCTGAGATTATTATTGAGCTCAGTCTAAACAGGAAAGGCGGTGATGAAGAAACGATTCGTAGTTTTGAACAAGGAGGCCGAACATCACTACAGTAACGCTGAAACCATGGCAACAGTGCTGTGCCTAACCCAGAGAGGGAAATTAAAGCTTTTAGCTGGAACAATAACAGCTTTTCTTTCTTCAGAAGCTGCTGCTGATCCAAGGCTTGTTGCTCAGCAGAAACCTGCTTCTCCTTGTTCTGATCTGATGCTGAGAACGTGGAGTAGAATTAGGGAGTCACTGCCGAGTTTAGGAAAAGGCAGAGATAGGATGGAGGTGGTCGTTTAGAAACAGACTCAAACGCTTCACCTTCAGCCTGGTGAGCAGTTTACCGTAGGATACAGTCCTCTGTGCAGAAGGAGGTCTTTGTGATGAAATGTAAAGCGGAGTGGTGCCAAACATCCGCCATGACAGAGGCCTTCTAGCAGAGGAGGTCAGTTTGGAGTTTTTATCGTAGGTTGATGATGCAGTGAGAATAATGATGCTGCCTGCGGAAAGACTGCATCATGTGCTTAAAGGTGGAGCTTGGAAACATGCAAAAGGTAACCGATGAATGGGTTGTTTGGTTCCATTGTTAGCCTGTAATATCTGAAACCTGTCTGAGGGTTGGTCATTAAAAGGCAGACTCCAAACACTAAATCCCAGTACAATTCAAGCCATTTAAGGGTTTGGTTTGAAATGTTCTGGGATTTTGTGTTTGGAGAAAATCCTTTTGAGCTTTTCAGACACTCCAGCAACATAAGGGATTGTGATGTTTTTTGCGTTTAATTTTCTCATCGCTATCTTTTGTTACGTGTCTTTTGGATTTCCAAGTGGACACATTTTATTGGTCCAACATAACCTAAGAGTGGTTATGTTGGACCAAACCCACTTTAATCCTGATTATGGGAAGCATGTGTGATGGGGCAGAGATGAGATCATTTTAAGTTTCATTATTGTTTAATATAGTGGCAGCTGGTGGAGTTTTCTCCAGGGGGGGGTTTAAATTCAAAATAGATGTTTACCAAAAACCAGTCGAACGTATACTAAGTTATCACACTAATATATTTATATGACTGCAAACAACAAAAAACATTAGAACAACACTTTATAAAAACTAAACATCATTCCATGTCCAGGTTTACTTTCTGTCCATAAATCTCGTATTTCTGAGGCTGTGAAGGTTAATCTGTGTTTTTGTCCAATATTGAGTCACAAACATAAAAAAATAAAAAGAAACTATTAGTCAGCTTTAGATTTTTGTAATATATAAAAAAATTTTATTTTCTGAGAATGTGTTTACTTAAGAGCAACTATGGAAATGAACAAACATGTTTAAGAAGTCGACTATATTCTATTATTTTCCATGTGAATCCCAGGTTGTTCATTCTACATTTACAGTAGGTCAGCTAATAGGTCAGGATCTGATCCAGCGTGGATAAAGACAGTTAAGTTAACAAGTCAATTAAAAGGTAAAAGCTAATAGAAAAGTTAAAAAGTAAAGTTAAAACGTCAATAAGCCTAGTTAACAATTATATTTAGGTTTATAAACTTAATAATGTCAGTGCCAGTATCAGCATTAACGCCTCTGAGGTTATATTGGACCAAATAAAATGTTTTTACTGAATTTCTTATAGAAGCACTTTTGTTATCTTTCTTAATATATTCGGGCAAGTTGGCTTTTTAATGACATTAATTTTTTCCATCAAAATATCCATATTTTTTTAATGTTCCAAAGGAAATAAGGTCTTTTCCTGGATTCCAGTAACACTATTGGCTGGAAATTTGGATTTTCAAAGTATTTCACTGAGCGCCCTATAAAGGGTTAATGGATTATTATTGAAGTTTAATTATTATTCAGTGATCTTTATGCACTGGTTTTATTTTCAATAAACAACAAATCTTTTATATATTGATGAACAGATTTCCTCAAATGATCCAAATGCTTTTATTAATCCCACTGAATATGAGATCCAGCCAAGGAGTTCAAAGGGTTGAAACCTTCTAAGAGTCGATAAAAACCTAATGAGTCTTTTCTTATTTCACTCATTGTTGGAGTATTACACCGGCCCAATCCCAGACCAGCCCCCAGACACTAATCCTGCATCCCCACGGAGGGGCCGCCACTTTAAGGGCCGTCCCAATCCACGTAGTGGGTAGGGTGAGTGGACGGTTCAGCCCCTAAATAGTGAATCTGCATCAGTGCAGGCTGGTGGGATTTTGGCGGTGGATGTAACGGTGATCTAATGGCGGAGGAAACGCATGCGTTAAATGTTAGTTCATCTGGTTTGCCGCATCTTCGTCACACTGACAGAAAATAACAAGTAAGGAAAAAGAAACGAGACGTCATTTAGTAGCTGAGTAAACTAGCCCCGCCCACCAGCGGCCAAAATCATTTCTGCCTGCAGCCTCGTTCGATGCCCCAGGCCCTAAATCTGACGGGCCAATCACAGTGCAGAGATGTGTTTTTAATGTCTGGATGCAATGTGGGCGGGGTTTTGAGGGCGTGACGACAAAGCTGTCCCAGCATGCACTGCGGCAGCAGCAGCTTATAAATGGAGCGCTCCATGGGAAGTTAAAAGTTCATCTATCTGTTGCTTAATAAAAAGTACATTTTAAGATCATTTGAGGCAAGAATATTATACTTTAAAGCATCACTATATGGTCCATTTACAGATTAAATGCATAATTAAAAAAAACATCCTCTCACAATAAACATGGCGGCCATTTATAACTGTACTGGAGACTGGCTCCATCCAGCAGTAGTTCCCTCTGAGTGAAGGGATGATGGACAAGGCGACCACGCAGAGTGGAGAGAATGGCGTGGAGCTCTGACAGTGACTGGGTGACATGTTGCCCAGTAAAGGACAGCGTCCCTTCCCTGTGTCCCAGGAACGATTAGAACCTCAGCATCCATCCAAAGCTTGTCAGTTAGAGACTCCTCATGTTTCTATGCAGCAAACCAAAGTTTATTCTCTGCAGACAAACTTGTACTAAAAAAGCTGACTGGACATCAGGGACTCGGACCAGAACAGGAAGAGGATGTTTGGAAATAAAGTCCCAGAGCTCAAATAAAGACTTCTCATGTCCTCAGGGAGCGTCCTGGGAACCGTCCCCCCGAGCTGCTGTACCCCCAGGCCGACGTGGCGGAGCGCCTGGCGCTGGGCGGAAGCGACGAGGTCCTGACCAATGGCTTGAAGCCGGACCTGCTGGCAGCCAAACGTCTGGCCAAGCGGCTCTACAACCTGGATGGCTTCAGGAAGTCCGATGTGGCGCGACACCTCAGCAAGAAGTAAGTTTGTGCCTCCAAACGTCGGAATAAGGAGGAGCTGAAACTAACAGAAAAACTAATTTCTCTCTTTATTCTGCAGTAACGACTTCAGCCAGTTGGTGGCGCAGGAATATCTCAGTCACTTTAACTTCAGTGGTATGAACATCGAGCAGGCATTAAGGTCAGTTCTGGACTCTGGTTCTGGACCCGGTGACTGCTGGGTTTAAACAGGAAGGACTGTTTTAGGTTCTAGAGTAAAAACCTCTGAAATGTTGATTCACCTTCATCTGGTTAATTAGAACCGTTTGGATCAAACATCAAAGCTTTTCACTGTAGAACATTTTGCTAAAAATCACTGAAACCTCATAATGAGGATGTGAGTGTAGAAGTGATCCATTGAATAAGGAAACCAGTGAATCGGTGAACATGTGACTCCCTGAATCAGTGAACCGTTCAGTTTCTGATAAAGCACCAATTCACAGCACAGGTCATCACTGGTCCGATCAGTAGGGCTAGAGATTTATTTTTCTATTACGAGAATAAAGTCATAAAACGATTTTAATAAAGTATCTTTTAGCAGCAGCATCAAACTGGGCAGGATGTCAAAGTGGACTCTGGTTGCTGATTGGTGGAGCTGGTCTGACATCATCTGCTGGGCGGAGCTCCAAGCTTTCTTTCTGAAACAGGTTTTGGTTTGATGACTTCATTCTTGAAATATTACGACTTTGTTCTTGTAATATTACAAATTTATTCTAAAAATAAGAAAAAAATGTCTAGCCTGGCCCTCCGTGGTAGATCAGGGACCAGAGAAAATCCAAACTTAGACGCCAAAGCAACGCTGATGTTAGTGACCTCCGGTCGGTGTGAGCGGGTGTCATTAATCTGCCTGAACCAGTGGACAGTTTGCACCCAGTTTCCCGCTGCTGATTGGTTCTGATCCAGAGGTTCTGTTGGACTCATGGGGCTGAAATGTTTTTCTCCTTCAGGAAGTTTCTGACCCACTTCGCTCTGATGGGAGAAACCCAGGAGAGAGAGAGAGTCCTCGCTCATTTCTCCAGGAGGTACAGGCAGTGCAACCCTGAGAGCCCGTCCACTGAAGGTACTGTCCATCACCCGTCCATCACCCGTCAATCACCCGTCCATCACCCGTCAATCACCCGTCCATCACCCGTCAATCACCCTTCCATCACCCGTCAATCACCTGTCCATCACCCGTTCATCACCCATTTACCATCCATCACCCGTCCATCACCCGTCAATCACCCTTCCATCACCCGTCAATCACCCGTCCATCACCTGTCCATCACCCGTCCATCACCCATCAATCACCCGTCCATCACCCGTCCATCACCCTTCCATCACCCGTCAATCACCCGTCCATCACCCGTCAATCACCCTTCCATCACCCGTCCATCACCCGCCAATCACCCTTCCATCACCCGTCCATCACCCGTCAATCACCCGTCCATCACCCGTCAATCACCCTTCCATCACCCGTCAATCACCTGTCCATCACCCGTCAATCACCTGTCCATCACCCGTTCATCACCCATTTACCGTCCATCACCCGTCCATCACCCGTCAATCACCCTTCCATCACCCGTCAATCACCCGTCCATCACCTGTCCATCACCCGTCAATCACCCGTCCATCACCTGTCCATCACCCGTCCATCACCCTTCCGTCACCCTTCAATCACCCGTCCATCACCCGTTCATCACCCATTTACCATCCATCACCCGTTAATCACCTGTCCATCACCTGTTCATCACCCATTTACCGTCCATCACCCGTCCATCACCCGTCAATCACCCGTCAATCACCCTTCCGTCACCCTTCAATCACCCGTCCATCACCCGTTCATCACCCATTTACCATCCATCACCCGTTAATCACCTGTCCATCACCTGTTCATCACCCATTTACCGTCCATCACCCTTCCGTCACCCTTCAATCACCCGTCCATCACCCGTTCATCACCCATTTACCGTCCATCACCCGTCAATCACCCTTCCGTCACCCTTCAATCACCCGTCCATCACCTGTCCATCACCCGTCCATCACCTGTCCATCACCCGTCCATCACCCGTTCATCACCCATTTACCATCCATCACCCGTTAATCACCTGTCCATCACCTGTTCATCACCCATTTACCGTCCATCACCCGTCCATCACCCGTCAATCACCCGTCAATCACCCGTCCATCACCTGTCCATCACCCGTCCATCACCCGTCCATCACCTGTCCATCACCTGTCCATCACCTGTCCATCACCCGTCAATCACCCGTCAATCACCCGTCCATCACCCTTCCGTCACACTTCAATCACCCGTCCATCACCCGTCAATTACCTGCCCATCACCCGTTCATCCTTCACTCTCTCAGACAGCGTCCACACCCGGACCTGTCTGTCTCTGTCTCTCAGACAGCGTCCACACCCTGACCTGTCTGTCTCTGTCTCTGTCTCTCAGACAGCGTCCACACCCTGACCTGTCTGTCTCTGTCTCTCAGACAGCGTCCACACCCTGACCTGTCTGTCTCTGTCTCTGTCTCTCAGACAGCGTCCACACCTTGACCTGTCTGTCCCTGTCTCTGTCTCTCAGACAGCGTCCACACCCTGACCTGTCTGTCTCTGTCTCTCAGACAGCGTCCACACCTTGACCTGTCTGTCCCTGTCTCTGTCTCTCAGACAGCGTCCACACCTTGACCTGTCTGTCTCTGTCTCTGTCTCTCAGACAGCGTCCACACCCTGACCTGTCTGTCTCTGTCCCTCAGACAGCGTCCACACCCTGACCTGTCTGTCTCTGTCTCTGTCTCTCAGACAGCGTCCACACCCTGACCTGTCTGTCTCTGTCTCTGTCCCTCAGACAGCGTCCACACCCTGACCTGTCTGTCTCTGTCTCTGTCTCTCAGACAGCGTCCACACCCTGACCTGTCTGTCTCTGTCTCTGTCTCTCAGACAGCGTCCACACCCTGACCTGTCTGTCTCTGTCTCTCAGACAGCGTCCACACCCTGACCTGTCTGTCTCTGTCTCTGTCTCTCAGACAGCGTCCACACCCTGACCTGTCTGTCTCTGTCTCTGTCCCTCAGACAGCGTCCACACCCTGACCTGTCTGTCTCTGTCTCTCAGACAGCGTCCACATCCTGACCTGTCTGTCTCTGTCTCTGTCCCTCAGACAGCGTCCACACCCTGACCTGTCTGTCTCTGTCTCTGTCTCTCAGACAGCGTCCACACCCTGACCTGTCTGTCTCTGTCTCTGTCTCTCAGACAGCGTCCACACCCTGACCTGTCTGTCTCTGTCTCTGTCTCTCAGACAGCGTCCACACCCTGACCTGTCTGTCTCTGTCTCTCAGACAGCGTCCACACCCTGACCTGTCTGTCTCTGTCTCTCAGACAGCGTCCACACCCTGACCTGTCTGTCTCTGTCTCTGTCTCTCAGACAGCGTCCACACCCTGACCTGTCTGTCTCTGTCTCTGTCTCTCAGACAGCGTCCACACCCTGACCTGTCTGTCTCTGTCTCTCAGACAGCGTCCACACCCTGACCTGTCTGTCTCTGTCTCTGTCTCTCAGACAGCGTCCACACCCTGACCTGTCTGTCTCTGTCTCTCAGACAGCGTCCACACCCTGACCTGTCTGTCTCTGTCTCTCAGACAGCGTCCACACCCTGACCTGTCTGTCTCTGTCTCTGTCTCTCAGACAGCGTCCACACCCTGACCTGTCTGTCTCTGTCCCTCAGACAGCGTCCACACCCTGACCTGTCTGTCTCTGTCTCTGTCTCTCAGACAGCGTCCACACCCTGACCTGTCTGTCTCTGTCTCTGTCCCTCAGACAGCGTCCACACCCTGACCTGTCTGTCTCTGTCTCTGTCTCTCAGACAGCGTCCACACCCTGACCTGTCTGTCTCTGTCTCTGTCTCTCAGACAGCGTCCACACCCTGACCTGTCTGTCTCTGTCTCTCAGACAGCGTCCACACCCTGACCTGTCTGTCTCTGTCTCTGTCTCTCAGACAGCGTCCACACCCTGACCTGTCTGTCTCTGTCTCTGTCCCTCAGACAGCGTCCACACCCTGACCTGTCTGTCTCTGTCTCTCAGACAGCGTCCACATCCTGACCTGTCTGTCTCTGTCTCTGTCCCTCAGACAGCGTCCACACCCTGACCTGTCTGTCTCTGTCTCTGTCTCTCAGACAGCGTCCACACCCTGACCTGTCTGTCTCTGTCTCTGTCTCTCAGACAGCGTCCACACCCTGACCTGTCTGTCTCTGTCTCTGTCTCTCAGACAGCGTCCACACCCTGACCTGTCTGTCTCTGTCTCTCAGACAGCGTCCACACCCTGACCTGTCTGTCTCTGTCTCTCAGACAGCGTCCACACCCTGACCTGTCTGTCTCTGTCTCTGTCTCTCAGACAGCGTCCACACCCTGACCTGTCTGTCTCTGTCTCTGTCTCTCAGACAGCGTCCACACCCTGACCTGTCTGTCTCTGTCTCTCAGACAGCGTCCACACCCTGACCTGTCTGTCTCTGTCTCTGTCTCTCAGACAGCGTCCACACCCTGACCTGTCTGTCTCTGTCTCTCAGACAGCGTCCACACCCTGACCTGTCTGTCTCTGTCTCTCAGACAGCGTCCACACCCTGACCTGTCTGTCTCTGTCTCTGTCTCTCAGACAGCGTCCACACCCTGACCTGTCTGTCTCTGTCTCTGTCTCTCAGACAGCGTCCACACCCTGACCTGTGCCGTCATGCTGCTGAACACAGACCTTCATGGGAACGTGAGTCTGCTCCTCTTCCTCAGTCTCTGATCTTCTGATTGGCTGAGATTCAAACAGGAACTCCATATTTGGTCACAGTCTTGCTGTTCTCCATCATGTTTGTTAAAACCGATTCTTTAGACGTTTAAAACCAGAATTATATTTTCAGTGATTGTTTCTTTTTTGTTTTTGAATCAATGAAAAGTGAGAAATGATCTTTGCTGATGATCAGTTTTAGAAACTTGATGTTTTCCAATTTCAAACTTTCTGTTTGGATCAAACTATTCAGCTCTGTCACCTGTTTAAGGATGTGAGTAGCGTTGCCATGGTAACAACCAGCCTGAACACAAACAGCAGCAGCCCTGAAGGTCTCCTCTGCCTTCAGCAGCAGAGCTGCTCCTGTAGGCAGCAGGTAAGCCAGTCTGGTGACCTTTGACCTCTGAGTCCATCTGTCTGTGCAGAACGTGGGGAAGAGGATGTCCTGCAGTCAGTTCATCTCCAACCTGGAGGGACTCAACGACGGGAAAGACTTCCCCAAAGATCTGCTGAAGGTAGGACTCCGTCACGCCGTCCTCACGTTCCCCGCCATGTCCCGCCAAACGGACATCGCCCTCGCCGTCCACAGACGTCCCCGTAAAGCGGAAGCGTCTCTGCAGGAGCTTCCTCTCTGTGGCTCTTCACGCTGCCTCAGAGGGTTAGGTTACGGTTTTTCAACCTTCGCACGTCTCACGCTTCAGTTTGACCTGCAGGGATTCAGCAGACATTCAGAAATGTCCTCTTCTTCATAAATCCGTTTTAATGCTCATGTTCCCAAAGTACAGGAAGTTAAATGTCCTCATTTTTCTGGGAAATTAAAGATCGATTGATCTTCAGAAATCTCAATATAATAAAGATTCTCCTCCATAAAACTTGAAAATTAAATAATAATTCACAAATTTAAGGCAGAAATTCCAACTGAGAGAAAAATAAAAAATTCTATAAAACTAATTATTAGATTTTCTACAAATAATCCAAATTGTTCCCATCAGGTTTTAGTCTGATGGGAGAATTAAACAGTAATATCTAAAATAAAGAATAAGAATCAAAAACACTTTTAGAAACTAAAGTATTATAAAGATGAACAATAAACGTCGTCTTTCTAAAGGTCGTTATATTCTGACATTAAAAATGTCCTAAAAACCTGGAAATAATTAGAAATGTTTTTGTTTTTGGTCGTTTTCGTTCTGATGACCCAGATCTGTTCCTCCATCACTTAATTTTTATTTACTTACAAAGACATATACATACAAGCTCACACTCACTCTGCTGTTCTTCACTTACAGTAGACTTAAAGGAATAGTACACCCAAAACATGATTAGCCTTCATTTTCTACTCACCCCCATGCTGAACAAAACTCTGGAGTACTTTTTTGATATCTCAAATGCATCTGGAGATCTGGGAGGCTTCTTGCTGTCTGCTGACATTCAAATAATGGAGGTCTATGGCGCCCGAGACAGAAAGGTCCACAAAAGTCCACAAAAACGTGTCAATATTCCTCCATACTGCTCGTCCAATGTAATCCAAGTGTCCTGAGTGGGTAGCATCCAGAATTTACTCGAAACGAAGTCATTTAGAATGTTTTTAGAGCATAAACAGTAGTGTATAGGATTTCCTAATAGCGCCCCCATGCGCGCTCACGATTCTACGGAAGCCGGCAGACCAAACCAGCGCATTCAGCTCGGCAAAGAACTCATGCTCTTCCTCAACACTGAAGTCCTCAGACATTTTTCTTTCGTTGTTTCTTTCTTTGCACAGGTAAACAGCACATTTCTTCTTCTACGCTTGCATTATCGGCAGACCAGACGCTGAATGCGCACTTTCTTCCGGTTTGGTCTGCCGGCTTCCGTAGAATCGTGAGCGCGCATGGGGGCGCTATTAGGAAATCCTATACACTACTGTTTATGCTCTAAAAACATTCTAAATGACTTCGTTTCGAGTAAATTCTGGATGCTACCCACTCAGGACACTTGGATTACATTGGACGAGCAGTATGGAGGAATATTGACACGTTTTTGTGGACTTTTATGGACCTTTCTGTCTCGGGCGCCATGGACCTCCATTATTTGAATGTCAGCAGACAGCAAGAAGCCTCCCAGATCTCCAGATGCATTTGAGATATCAAAAAAGTACTCCAGAGTGTTGTTCAGCATGGGGGTGAGTAGAAAATGAAGGCTAATCATGTTTTGGGTGTACTATTCCTTTAAAAAAGAACAAAACTTTCAAAGTAAAAGCATCGGTTTGAAGGTAAAATAGGTCACATGGTTAAACAGGCGTAACTAACAAACATAAATATAGTTAATAATAAAATAAGCAGCGCAAATGGAGATGGATGAATAAAATAAAATAAAAATAATAATAATAATAAAAATAATAATAATAATAATAAAAGTAAAGATAAAGGAGAAGTATAATTTATTTATAAAAAATTACAAAAAAGGAGATTTTTACTGCGTTAGTATGGTTATAGGCGGTTTCCACCTATTAATAAATGTGTCTTTTTAAAGGCAATAAATTATTTGTACCTTATGGTAGATTTCCCAGACCTTCAATCAACATCCTGTACGTCGGCGGGTCGACCTTCAGCCGTTTAACTGTGATGCATTTAAGAGTAATCAGTAATATTTGTAGAAGGTATTTTTTCCTCTTCCAGTAATGTCATTTGGTAATAATCCATTAACCCTTTATAGGGCGCTCAGTGAAATACTTTGAAAATCTACATTTCAGCCAATAGTGTTACTGGAATCCAGGAAAAGACCTTATTACCTTTTGAACATTAAAAAAAAATGGATATTTTGATGGCAAAAATTAATTTCAAAGTAATAAGAAGAAACACCAAGTGCTTCTAGAAGAAATTCATGAAAAACATTTTATTATTCTGAAATAACCTTAGAGGCTTTAATGCTGATTCTGGCACTGACATTTTTTAGTTTATAAACCTAAATATAATTGTTAACTAAGCTTATTAACGTTTGAACTTTTCTATTAGCTTCTTTCATGACTTTTTAACTTTTGTTTTTAGCTTAATCTCCAGCAGGTAATCTATCAATCAGGGTTCATCTAATTGGTCAAATGTCAGAATCAGATGTGCAGCCATGAAGCAGGATCTTTGCTGAATGGCTGGATATAGATCTTGTGTTTCTAGACCTCACTGAGGGATGGGTGGTGCAGAAATACTGAAATACTTTTCCAAGTGCCTCAAATATCTCGTCCCACATTTTTCTCAATTTAGGGCACGTCTAAAATATACTGTTACCAATGTGTGAGCCACAGCTTCTCCAGCTGAGTGAACGGCCCCCATGTTGGATACGACCGCTGGTTTCCTAAAGATTCCTGTTATTACCTTCCACCTGAACTCTCTCCATGTATTAGAATTAGTGACTTGATGCACTTCAGTGCGTATTCCCTCCCATCCCTCTGGCTGCATATCTATATTCATTTCCCATTTTTCTTTGGTCTGTAGAGTTTTGTTTGGATCCATATATATAAATAGTTTGTAAAAAGGACTGATCATTTTCTTATTCCCTCTGCCTGTTTGCAATTTTATCAAGAATTTTTATGGGCTTTAGGATTTTAGTAGCCTAGTAAACCAAAATCATTTCTGCCTGCAGTGGCCTAGCCTCGTTCGATGCCCCAGGCCCTAAATCTGGCGGGCCAATCACAGCGCAGAGATGTGTTTTGAATGTCTGGATGCAAAGTGGGCGGGGTTTTGAGGGCGTGACGACAAAGCTGTGCGGCAGCAGCAGCTTTCAGTGGATCGCTCCTTTGAAAGTTAAAAGTTCTCTTACTGTTGCTGTCGTTCAATAAAAGTACATTTTAAGATCATTTGAGGCGAGAATATTATACTTTAAAGCGTCACTATATGATCCATTTACCGATTTAATGCGTAATAAAAAAAAAAAAAACTATTTCTGAAGTTGAGAGGACCGCGGCAACCAGCGGAGCTCTGAGGCTAATGGCAGCCAGGGCTAACGTTAGCCCGTCTGCAGAGGCCAGGGCTAACGGCAGCCCGTCTGCAGAGGCCAGGGCTAACGGCAGCCCGTCTGCAGAGGCCTAACGGCAGCCCGTCTGCAGCGGCCAGGGCTAACGGCAGCCCGTCTGCAGAGGCCCTCTCTCGGCATAGCCATGTGTGAAGTACCGCTGGCTCTGATGGTGATTTCTGACTCAGCTTTGGAATCAGTTCTGGAAGGATCAGACTTTGGGTTTTCATTAGCTACGTTTACATGCGCAAAATTTCTCCGATCCGATCCAAACCTTGGTTGATCGGAAATTCAAAATCTCCGTTTACATGGACACTAAATGAAATGATCCGATCATGACGTGTGTATACATGTACCAAGCGTTGGATCAGATTAAATCTTTTAAGCATGCGCAGAACTTCCTGCCAAACTTGGCAGTTCTGTCTGCGTCTGGTTTTTGGGAGGCCTGACAAACGATGCGCTCGGAGCGAGCGGAAAGAAAAACGGAGAGAGGAGGAAAAAAGCGCTTGGCAGCGAAATGTCCGAGAGAAAATGTAGAGAATGAGCGATTGAACCGGCGTGGAAGAGCGAGTGGGCTGTGGAGAGAGAAAAGAGGAAGAGGAGGAGGATAAATTCCTGCTTCCTGCAGCTTTAAATGAACTTGAGTGTATAAGTCGGCATTCCTAGACTCCTCCCGCCATGTTGTTCACAGCGAGAGCGAGAGCGACCGGTGGTTTCCTGTTGTTGACAAGGCGGAAAAACGTCACGCTGACGTCGCACACATGTGCAGTGAAGATTATTTTACTCTTTAGATCCGAATGGGTGTTTACATGGACGCCAATCAGAATGGCGATCGGCAAAAACCACCTCTCTCTTTCGGAATTAAATTTATTTCCGATCGGACCGAATCGGATTAGAATCTTCAGTCTGACATGTTTACATGAAACATTTTTGATCTGATCAGGCCTTCAATCCGATTATTTGTGTCCATGTAAACGTAGCTAGTGAAATGTGAGCAGGAAGAGGCTCTACGTTCATTCATTTTTGAGAAAGACGTATTTGCTGTTTTACCGACAGGCTGTTTGTTTCCCCTCCCCCACCAGCTTCCTGTCGCGCTTCATACGTCACAGTCAGTTCTTCATTGGTCAGAGCTAGGATTATCAGGCTAGGATTTTAGTCCACTTTCTGTGTTTTATTACAAACTCCCTTAGTTGTAAATATGTGAGAAAAATCTGTATTGGGGAGTGTGAAGTCTCCTCTTAATAGTTCAATGGATTTGAACCACCCTGTTCCTCCATTTTTAAACTAAAACCTCCAGCAGGGTTTTTCTGGACGTCACTTATTCTGATCGTTGGTTCTAATGGCCGACATGGTGGACAGGCCTACCTCACATTGACGGCCTGGGCTGCAGGGGCATGAACCGGACCGGTTCTGGTCGGACCGGGTCGGTGGCTTTCTCAGCCTCCCCACCTGGGCCTCGGAGCGACCTTCACCAGCCTGCGGCGTGCGGCGGCTGGCTGTGCGGCAGCAGGCTGTGTGTGGGCAGCAGCTCAGA